AAGTTAGTTATGGCAGTTGGAAATCATCAAGGAGATTATATGCAATGGATATTGAGTGATTAGAAGCCCAATGGAAACCCAATTCAAAATCCACTTTTTCCATGTTTGAAGCTTTTATGTTATGGTGAGAACAGAGCCAAACAACTTGAAAATTGATCCAATTGCCTTGCTTGTGATGTAAGGAACATGTGTGGATAGGATTGAGGCCTTGAAATTGAATCTATGGTAGATTTGCATTGTGTTTCTTAAGGATGTAGAAATCTTGGATTTGGCATGGCAAATGACTTCAAACTTGATTTCTAATGTTGCCATTGTTCTTAAAAAATTATTTGGACTCAAAACAAGCACAAATATGACATGAATTGATTTGAATTCTTGATTTTTACGGGCCTTTAAGCTTCATTCATGAAAGTTTCTCCAAGCATTTTCCAATTCAAGCCATGCCAATGATCCCTTGAGATTTGGTTGACCAAATGAAACCATTTTGAGCAACTTTCAAGTTGGAAACATTTTCATTTGAGGTATGCAAAGTGGTGAACTTGACCTATAATGAAAATGACGTGTAATCTTACTTTCCCAAAATACCCTTGACTTACAAGTATCATATCTTGAGTTCTACAAATCCAAATGAGGACTTATAGTACTCTTTGTAAAGCTAAGATCATGAGGAACACCTTTCATGTTTATCAAAAGTTGAGGAGAAACATCATTCTAGCTCAAAAATGTCCTGGAAGTTGGTTGACTTTCAAGTACCAAAATCACATTCATCTGATGACCTATAACTTGTCTGCCTCGTAACTTGAGTTCGAGAAATCCAATGAATGACTTCTAATACTAAAATTAAAGGTATGAACATTCTCTACAAGTCTCATGTTTATGTCAAGATGAGATGAAACTTGTATCTTGAGTTATGTGGTCTTGAAGTTAGGCACTGAGATAGGGGATTTACATTGTCAATCTTAGAAGCCCTGGCTCAATTACTTCTCACACTCTTGAATATTGATGAATTGATCTTAAAATGATCTCTTAGGTGTATTAACACAACATTCCATGATCATAATTGCTTGGAATTGAGTATTAATCTCCTCAATACTCCCAGTTTACTGAGGGTTGACCAGGTGGAAACCCTAGTTGACTCTGCTTTGACTGTGGCCTCTTGTACTTTGCACAATGACTTGAATAAGCTCCATAATGATCTTCAATACCTCTCATGAGCTATTGTGATGCTTTCCACCCAAATCTATGGACTTGCAACTCTCTGATGATTCTCAATTGATCCTCAAGATAGGAGATACAACCACATACATTCTCCTGCTCTTTGACTTTTTCTGATGGCTTGATAAAAATGATAAACCTTCACTTGCTTGAATGAAGCTTCTTGATTTTGGCTTAGGCCTTGGTAACCCTCTTTTGATTAGCACACCCCCTTGATCCCCTGTACATAGATGCTAGTATGCAGATGCTAATGCTAATGCAAATGCTACGAATGCAAGGAAACACAAGCTAGGTAAAGAAAGGGTTAGGCAAATTTTGGGGTGCAACAGATACCAATTATATTATCTATACTATGTTATAGCTCTATTAGTTAGATTTCCAATGCTTTGAAAAGGGACCAAAACAGACTTATGGATCAAAAGTTACGTTTATTCTGTCATCCCTCGCTACATGTTCGCTACTGCTCGCGTCGTGACTTTCGCTATGCGAAATATAGCTCGCATCGCAACGTCCGTTATGCGAAATATAACTCGCATCGCGACTCATTACATAATTTAAACCATATACTTTTTCTACTGGTTCACTACGCGACGTTCGCTATGCGAACTCTCCTAGACAACAAACCAGAAAAGTGCAATTTTTGCAGTTTGAAGGCCTTTCAGACTTCCGAATTCGATTCCGTAAAAAGTTCCAGTTCTAGAATTTGAAATACTACCATTATATGATAATTATAACATCCTAAAAGACATATTTAAGGATCCTACCATCATACATAATGTAATCATCAATTTCAAAACCATGGAAATTAGGGATTTTTATCCCAAATGTGATACTACTCATCATACACTATCATACAATCTCATAACCATGTAAAGACCTACCCTTACCTTGACTTTTGATGATTCTTGAGCTCTCTCTTGGTTCTTCTTCTTCTTCTCTACTCTTTTTTACCTCTTGCCTCTTTTTCACTTTACCAACTTTCTAACCCTATTCTTTTTCTTTCTCTACTTTACAAACTCTCACAAATTCCTCATTAACTATTGAGCTCACTCAACCCACTATCACAATTTCTATTCACACTCTCAATTAATTCCAATTACTAATTCTAGCAATTCTATATTATTCTACCAAATAGAATAAATCAAATAAATTAAGTACTCAAATTAATCAATTATTTCAAATAAGTCCAATAAATCAATTAATCCAGACAACTCAAATAAATCAGTTAATTCACTTAAGTCAAATAATTCAGATAAATCACATAAATCAATTATTCATAAAATCACTCAATTAATTAATATAAATAATTAATCACTAAAATTAGGGTGTTACAATTCTTGCGTAATGTTTGGACATCCGTTTTCTTATGGTCGCACTGCATTGGCCATTTGAAGTTAGATCACATTGTTATAAGATATATGTGTATCGCTATTGGATGCATTTTTTAATTATTGTCTATTTTTAAGTCATTTCTCGTATGCTAGTTTCCATGTTTTATTATCATAACTTTTACACTAAAATACTTTTGAGTTTATATATTTTGGATGATTTTGAATTGGTTTGGTCTTTTCTCATAAAATTTTTAGATTTTTTATTAAATAATACAAAAACAGAAACACATTAAAAGTAAAAGTACTTAAAATTACATTAATTTGATACTAAAAACATCATATAACAAACTATCATCATTAAAGGTGACAAAATGGGTCGAGGCCCGCTGGGCCGGCCCGTGCATCCGCCAAAAACTGGCGGGTTAGGTTGAGATTTTGTGCCCGCCTACCCACTTAGTCTGTCCCGCTTTAAGCCAACCAAAAAAAGGGGCGTGTTGCCCCACCAGCTTGCCAACCTAATTATTAAGCACTCAAAATATTTATTTTGTTTGGTTGAAGGTTGATAATTAAACTATAGTTTTGAAATACTTGTTGATGATTTTATTTTATACATTTATTTATGAATATATGCAATATTTTTTAAAGTAAAATTTTTTAAAAAGATGCTTTATAAAAAATTATTCTAAAAATAAGTGAAAAATTTAATTGAAATGTAAAAATAAGCCTATTAATCTATTAAAGAAATAAAAAATATATATAAAACTAGGTGGGTAAGCCTGCCACCAACCAACCAGTCACCTTGGTGGAACGAGCTAGATTTTTAAATCCAATTTCACTTGGCAGACTTGCCTTCCCCGTCCCCTTTTTTGGCGGGCTTAAGGCGGGGCCGGCTGATGACCAATTTTTCCACCCCTAATCATTATAACCACAAACTTGGACCTTTCCTTGTCCTCACATAAAATATTTGAAAATGAGATTTTTAGGAAACATGAGAATTTACCTGCTTCGATGATAATTTCCAAGTTGAAGCTAATTACCGAAGCACTTCCACGTTCTTGTTCAATTTCCACTTTCATTCTTATACCTCGAGATGGATAACTCAAAAGACTTCATTCCTCCATTTTATCTTTCAACTTTTTTTCTCTTATCGTTAATTCACTAAAATGATATATATATATATATATATATATATATATATATATATATATATATATATATATATATATATATATATATATATATATATATATATATATATATATATATATATATATATATATATATATATATATATATATATATATATATATATATATATATATATATATATCACTCAATCAACTTGTAAAAAAAATGAAAAAATGCAGTCTTTCAACTTCAACCTTTTATTATTTTTTTTATTATTATCTAATAGTCAAGAATTTGCAAGCAATATAGTCTTTCAATTGAAAATTATATCTAGCAAAAGAAGGTTAATTACAAACGATGATAAATAAGATAACTAACAATATGATCTTCAAACCAAAATATTAGGCACTAAAGTGATTTACATAGATAATTTCCCCGCCATTCAGAATCTTGTCAGAAAGGACCATGGTTAAAGGACTTACATGAGCATTAAGACCAAATGAAACCAGAATGTTAAGATTTTTTGAAAAGCTTAAACAAGACATTAAGTATGAGTCATTTTTTGAAAGTGTAATGTAAGGGATTGCTTCTTCAAGGTTGACAACTGCAATATCATTAATCATAAGAAGACCATTGTTGGGTTGCCAACTTTAGTCATTTTTTGTTCTCTATTGAGAGGTAAAAGGATGACGAAAAATATTAAGAAAAAAATTGAACAAGGAAATACATAAATTGATTTATTTTCTTATGACAACCTTCCCAGTAGGATTATGTTCAGAAAATTTGATCTCATACCCCTGCATTTAACCCCATACCCCTACAAATTAAAAAATTGGACCAAAATACCCCTATATAAATACCCATAATTTCAAAATTTTCACTTTTTCCTCATTTCATTCCATCTAGAGTGTTAAAAAAGTCCATTCCCATTTGGCTTCCATAAAACCCAACATTAAGACTTCTGGTTCACAACTTTCAACACCAAAGAGCTAGAGAGTGAGTTTTTTGGTTTGTTATTGTGATGTTTACACACTGGATAACTCGGGGTATAGTTATCTGGTTCTTATTTTTTCCTCACCGGATAGCTTGCTATTACGTATCTGGTTTGTATCTGTTCCTCATCAGATAACCTGACATGATGTTATATGGTTCTTATTTTTTTTCTTCACTAAAGAACTTGGTTGGCGGTTTTTCAGTTTGTTAGATTTTGACTTTGTTTTAGTAGCCCGCATTAGAGGATGGGATAAACACATTTATCGATGATATGGTGAAGGATGAAAAACTGAACAACCGTCAAATCGAGAGGAAGATCATATAGATGCACCTATGCCTATTCCGCTGCATCCACCATTTCCCAGAGGACCATCTGATATGTCTCTTTTAGTGAGGTATCAGAACCACGTTGCTTTCCATTTATGGGTCGGCGAAGTAAGTTAATCTATGATATTTTATGTTGAATCAAATTTAATGTTAATTATTTATATATTATAACATATATTATGAATTATTTTCAGAAGAGAGCTCTGAAGAAAGAGTTAAAGTTTGTTGCACATGGCAGCAAATTGATTAGATGGGTTCCACATATCCTCCCACCAGTGATTGAGAGATGGTTATCTGATTCTGGTCTATCCTTTTTACAAAGAACCAATTTGTCGATGATAGATCAAAACTTCATATATGCATTTGTGGAGAGATGCCATCCAGAAATATCATCCTTTGATATGGCATTTGGATGATATTCAAGTCGTCATTTCCAAGCGAATAATTTCACTTAAAGAGATTAATCATGTCTAAACTCATGAAAAGAAGTTTTAAAAGAAAAAGTGCATAAAGGCACAAAAAGAGTTGATGAATTTTTTTTAATGTCTTTTTAAAATTGGTCAAAATATAATTAATGTTGATTGAAATTTATAAAATAAAACAAAGTTTGAAAAGAAAATCACTTGACCAAAGTCAAGGTTTTATTCTGAAAGCGGTTTGAGTTTTGAAAATAAGAAGGGTTTGAAAAAGGGAGAAGATTTTGAAAATTAAATAAGGGGTGGAGAAGAAGTGACTATCCTAAAGCATAAAGACAAAAGTTAAGGATAAGAACAATCTAACAACACAAGCAAAATTCATAACATAAGCATCCATTCCTTTAGATTAGGCCTTGACCAAAATAGATCTTCAAAGGAGAACTTCAAGTACCCAAACATCCAAAGTTTACCCTCACAAACTTTCAAGAGTAGGTTAAGATCCTAGTTCTAGGTCCAAATTTCCATGTCCAATGCAAATGATAGTAACCATATTCCACCATTAAGAGAACAATTTTTTTAGGAGTTTAAGCTTTTATTAATGTTTTTGATCCAAATGGACAAAAAAAAGTGCATAAACATAAATAAATGGTCCAAGTGGACAAAGGAAAAATGGCGAAAGTATAAAAAATAATATGATATGGTATGATAATAATGGAGCATAAAAATAAAGAGAGATATGGAGCAAGAAAGAAACATAAACAAAATTAGTACAATAATATTGTTAGTGAGTTAGTTGTTAGAACAAACGATCAACGATGGTCAAATGATGAACTTGAGCCAAAGTTAATGAAGACTCATTGAAGGATTGATAAAATAAAATCCTGGTAACAACAAGCTTCATAGGTATTGGACCTAAGACAGCTAATCAAACATACTTGGACTTTCAAACATAAGTTTAAGCCACAAATGATCATTTTCTGATGCGGGACAATTTAGAGCTATGTTAAGCAATCATAATCGGATTTATATAGAAACCACGATTATCGAGGCCGGTCAATAAAAATGTTTGTACTAATGTATGCTAGAGAAGTGATATATAGATCACTCTCCGAAAGCAATATCGTACGAAAATAAAATAGGTAATGATCTTATCTTCATCAAGAACTAAAATAAGTTCCAATGATATTGAAGATTTTCATATATCTAGGCCAAATTCATATAGGCCAAATTCATATAAATAGAGCGATGAAATGGATGTACAAGCAAGGTGCGCAAAAGGTTAATGAGCTCAGGCCTGTATTGGATAGATTGACACATACTGATGTTATTTGGCGCCCTTTTGAGGATCATAGACAACATCGGCCATTTGATGATATATGCTTGTATAGGGGTGGCCTGAAATGGTATGGTGCATTTGTTCTATACTTATCTAACAGATGCTTGCGTCAGTTTCGATACAAAAAGTACATACAATCTCCTCCTCCTGTGTTGACACACTTGATATGGATATTGAGTGGATTACATATCACGCGAGAGAGATGGAAGTGATACGTCCGGCCGATTTTACAAATACTCCATTTGATGTTGTTCCCGATTATTTGGATTGGTACTACAGGGTGTCACATCCTCGTTTGGTACCACTACCTTAGAGGGAGCTCAGACATGTCCATGTTCCTGTATATGATGCAGGACCATCAGATCAGAGGTTGTTACATATTTCACATGAGCTTCGTTGCTATCTACAACGTCACGAGGCGAAAAAGGACGATGATGATTTTGCTGAGGTCTTTCGAGCACTGCGTATAGCTCAGGGTGGATTGATACCTCAGGGAGGATCGATACCTTATGTTAGTGATGATGATTGATGTATTATTTACTATTCAGACTTATGTAGTATTATTTAGAGTTATGTAGTATTCTTCATACGTATGTAGTATTCTTCAGAGTTATATAATATTATTCAGACTTATGTAGTACTCTTTAGATTTATGTACTATAATCCTAAACATACTATGAATTAAATATAACATGAAGCAATTGTCAAAACAAACCAAAATATGAAAATCAAATTACAATCATAATCTAACATATTTCGACACCACAGGCGTAAGGTGTTGCTAATGATGTAACCGTCTAACAAATATTATCATCCAAGAAGTTGCATCTGATATACGATACTTCTTCCAATCTAATATGACTGTTGGCAAGGGAAATTCTTCGTTCATGTTTACCTGTTAAGAAAATTAATAAGTAAGACATAAATGAAATATAAGTAATTAACATAACAAACATGAATATTTACCTGAACCCAATGATTTTGGTTTACAAAATCAATTTAGTAAATGGACACATTGGGCTTGATCTACCTAATTCTATGTGCGTGGTAGGTAGGATCATGATTGAGCGACCATGAGGACTATAAAGTTTGTGTAAATCTTGTGCTCCAAGGGAGGACTCAAGCTAGGAGTAGGAAGTAAGGAGAATTAGATAACTTAGTTGAAGTCTTAGTAGGAGTTGTGATTCTGGTAATGTGGAATTGTAGTGTGGTGTATGATTCAAGCAACCCTGTAGTGCTAGTGGAGTTGGGAAGTTGAGGGTTTCTATCGGATGAATTGTGTCGGGGTTTTGAGAAATATGTGAATATGAAATTAGAACAAGATTAATTTAGGGAGTATATTCAAATGGTTGAGAGCTTGAGAGATAAGGACGTTCAACACCTTTGTATGAGTCTAAGTGAGCATTGAATGCATCGTCTTCCTCAACCTTATCACGATGTGACTTTGCATTCTCCTTCTGTCACGACCGATTTTGCCTTGCTTCGGATCGATTTAATGTTCATGTAGATTGATCAGTTTCATTCATTCTTAGTTCATCTCTTCTTCTTGTATTTCAATCTCTCTCTGATTATGGGGTTTTGATTTGAATTTATTCTACTCCTTCTGTTTTTTGATTGGATTTTCTGGTCTTTTGTTTATGGGTTTTTAAAGGAGGAAAGGTTGAAAAGGATTCTGAGGGGATTAAAAGGGGGTTGCGGTTTTGTTGATTTAAGGAGAGTGATGAAGTTGAAAGAAGTTTTTAAGGGTGAGATTGAGTCGAAGATGGGTTACAGAGTGAATGAGGTTCGTTGAAGAGGGTTGGGTTGAGGTTGAAGAATGGAAGATTGAAGAAATTTTGGCAGGGTGACGTTGGCTAATCATAGCTTCCCGTCAGAGTGTGAAAATAGCTTGTATTTATAGGACAACTGTAAGGGCATTTGAGGAAATAATTTTGACGCAAATTGGGATGAAAAAACGTTGTTGCAGTTGTTGCGTGTGAGATATGCGTGGTTTGTGTGACTTGTATGGGCGGTTTGTGCTGCTATGCGTGAATCATGTATTTGTATGAGGTGCTGCAGGAAATAAAGCTTGAGGTACCAAAGTGTGGGCTTGCAGGTTTTTTGTTGTTATCATGTTGTATGTGAAGGCCAGAACAGTTTAGCTTTATGCGTATTTCGGGTCGTGACGTTGCACAAAGGTGTATGGTACAAAATGATTTTTAATTTGTGTGGAGTCACTTGGTATTGTTGAGTGTGTGAAAAGGTTGCAGGTTGTTCATGATGTTGTGGATATTGTGTAGAGTATGATACACGTGATTTAGAATTGTTTGTTTCTGGGTGTGGCAAGTTTGTAGCTAGTAACTTGGTTGGAGTTATGAACAAAAGCTGGTGCGTGAAGTTTTGTTTGTTATGTAAAAGTGGGTTTTGGAATTGTCCTTTGAAGAAAGAATTTGTAGCAGGCTTGTTGCCATGGTATGGGAAAGTGAGGTTTGAAAAAAAATGGCTTTTGTGATGAGTTGTATGAATGTTGCTTCACATAGTATTTTGTCGTGCCCTTTTTTAATTATAACAAATTTTTTTTCTTCACAATTTTGCTAAGTTTTTTTGCAGATGGACCTCACATTCATGGGCTTATGGATAGACCTTGATCACATGAATGAAATGATCTTTTCTTTTGATATTTTGTGGACTTTGAAAATTATTCTTGTAATTAATCCTTGGACTCTTTGAATTTTCTTGTGTAGGCGGACTTTGAACTTTGTTACATTTTGCACCCTCCATAATGTCTTTGACCAACTTTGAATCTCGACTCATCATTAAATTAATTCTTGAGAAATAAGTAAAGATAAATCAATATTGACTTCCATGTATGAAAAAAACAATCTTCCTTAGCTAAAGTGCACATTTCCTGACAAAAAATCCAACCTAAATCACTCTTGAATCTTGAGTGAATTGGAATTGAACCAAAGTAACTCTTGAATTAACCTTAAACTAAGGTCTCGAATTAATGAATCAAATTCTTCATAACGAACCAAATAACCAAGAAAATACCCTAAAACCAGAGGGACATGACTTAAAATATGAGTTGTATTGAAAAACCTGACTGCAAATGCACTATTCTTTGATGATCCTCAACCATGGAACACATAGCCTGACAACTTGATCCCCACCTAAATAACTTGAAATAATACAGAAACCCTTGACTGGAATCTGCATACCCTAGTCTCGATCTTGAAACAAACCCTTTTGCCTGACCAAAAATAGGTCAAATCATGTGATCTTGACCACACACTCTTGACTTGATAACCATGCGTGAACTCATCCTTTCTGCAAATGGACTTAGGAAACAAAAGCAACATATTTTTTTATTTTTCTGAATAATGTTAGTGGATGGATGTACAAATGAAATTCAAACACAAGTAGGACAAATTTGGGGTATGACACTCTGTCAATGCTTTATCTTCATTCTCTTGAATGAATACAAAGCCTGTTTCAAGTACAAATGAGTCACCAAGGATTTTGTCATATACAGTCCTTCGAGTTTTAGCCAAGCACCAACTGCCATCGTCTCCTTTGAAACCTGTCTGAGATAACCAAGACTCAGAATAATGTTACTGTTGGCTTTCTCTATCATTGTTATCTTATCCTTCTCCGTCAATGGAGCATCCATGGCTTCTTCTCCCTT